GATATTACTAATAGAATAGTTTTAAAACTATATAGGAATATAATTTAATTATAATTTATATCTTACCTTAAATTATAATATTTATTTATTAAATTATATAGCCTCTATATAATAAAGTATACTTTAAAGTATATTACTAAATATACTTATAGAACCTCTCCTAACCTTAGTGATATATTTAAAATAGGCTTAAACCTATAGGGTATCTATAGGGGGGGGTAAGCTGAGCTTTTGCGGAGGGGTAAGATGAGCTACACGCCACTGGGGAAGCTCTTCGAAGTGCTGGATGCTGTCACTGGTTTGGGGGGTTTTTCATGTCAAAGCTCCCAAGCGCACCAAAGGTCGCTTTGGCTAGACGTCAGAAACAGTCGCAACACCACGTACCGCTGCTAGCTGAGTTACTAACTAAACCACAGTCAACCATGTATATGAGAAACACTGGTATTTTGCTACACATAAGCTTATGAGGGGCGCATGTTCTATTTGGCAATGAACAGGAAATCTCGTAGGTCCTCTTAATCAACGGTGCAGATGCAGCTCCTGATATCACGCTCTGCATACTATCCTGTTTGTCAGCTAACGTCAACTTGAGATGGTGTTAAGAAGAAAAATCATGGACAAAAATTCAATAACCAACTCTGCGGCATAGAATAATAACTTTTAGAATCACAGGTTCCAGGAATGACATCACTGGATTTGCTGAGACCGTCTCACACATCATATACACGATACTGTCGAACTTGACAAGTGCGGCAGTATGTCTAAGGAAACGATCTCATGGCAAGTTTTGAAAGAGACTGGCTATGCCCCCATGATAAGACCAGGGGTTCATTTGATGCCATTCATAGATGTTGCAAGCTGAAGGTGGCTTATGCGTGAGATGTTAAACTGTGACACATTATTTCATGTCTTATTGATCGAAAGAATCCACCGTCGCTGAATCTTATATGGTGGGCATCATGTGTGTTTGCGAGAGCGACTTTGTCAGTGACAAGTTGATAGCCGGGGAACTCTCAAGGTTACGGGCCCCTGCACAGGAACGACCGACAGCCCCTGAGGCGCAATATGTAGACGGGCACTCTCTGTACTTCGTAGCATTCACCTCAGTAACTCTATCCATGGTGACAGCGGCCGTCGGATCGGTCAAGCCGTAGGTGCTGCCGGCATGACCCCTGTACCCTGGGGAGCCGCCAATGTCCACGCATAAGCATGCGACAAAACGGGTGTCTGAAACCTGGGGTGACAGCCTGCAGAGACCACTAATAGGGCGCCCAGGCTTTTAGTTGTCTAAATGTGCATCAGGATATCTTTGGCTACTTCCGTTTCTATACGACAAAGAAAACAAACGGAAAATATGAGAACGCCGAAGAACTTTCCACACAATGATCCAAAGCTCAACGGCAAGACCGCGTAAATGCTCGGAAATTGCGTTTTACAGCAGTTTGCATACTGAAGGATTCACCATGAGATTCAACTTCCAGAATTCGGTTGCCCGAGTCAAGCAGCCTCACCGACAACAGTATCTTTGCGGGAGAAACACATGCCGATCATGTTCATTAATCTAACGAAAGCCGTACGACTCAGAGCCACTTATGCTCTTGTCTTCGGTTTTTGCCGGCAACGAGCGCATTTCTAGTAAGCTTCATATTATGAACGTAGATCACCTAAGAAAGTCTATCTCTTTGGGACGAACGAGTGCAGGGATGAAGTTGATTGCTCAGAAGTCCTTGCGAGGCAACTTTCGCCCGCAAACTCCTCAGAGGCTCAGAGCTCGTCGCTCTCGCCGGCCAAGCGGGGGGCATTGAGGCAACTGCTCAACTTACGTCTTGCTAGTATATAATTCCCCGCATCGCGCCTTGGCTGAGCAGAAGTTTAGAACTCAGACTCAAGCCTTCAGGATCACATTCATTTACAATCCAACTGTTTACTTTCTTTGACAACTTTCCAATCAAACAAATCACAATGTTCGGACTTAAGACCGTCGTTGCCCTCATGTTCGTCCGCCTACGATTCTCCAGTTCCCCACCTCTGAGCGGCTCAACTGACACACACATAGGGGCCTCGCTTCCATCGTCGCCGCTGCTCCGGCCGACGACAAGCGCGTTCACGTCAAGCGTCAGACCGATGACACCAAGAACTGCTACTGCGGCAGGGACACCGGCTCCGCGCTCGTTAGCGACCCCGACACCACCAAGGCTGCCTGTGCCGACTACGGCTCGTACGGTAGGTTTGCTCACTATCGCAATCTCACGGCTCTGTGATCTCGGATGACTGACTTATGTCCAACAGCCGGCCCCTACCCCACCAGGTGCCAGATCATCATCGACATCAACGAGCCTCTGTACATTGACAAGTGCAAGGCCCTCGGCCAGCCCACTGGCTGGTGCGAGAAATAAGCCTGTGAAAATTAGAATATCTGAATAGACTTGATACCTCGATTTGAGTCCCTAGTGCTGTATATTTTCCACTTGCAATCGCCAAAGAAACTTGATCGTGACTCTATGCTCACTCGTGGCTATGAAGTCTAACATAACGATCGTTGGGGCGAAGTGTGGAACCTGCCCGTTGTCTTCCACGAGTCTGGTTCTCTAGTTGAATTCCGTCGGGATTTCCCCCCCGGGCGTCAAGACAGCCTTCGCAGAACTTCATCTGAGGTCTGTTCGCCATTCTCGAGTCCGCGGTCCACTGCAATAGCTTCCACGCTGCTTGAAGAAAGACCAAATCTGCAAGGACGATCGCCAGCAACATCACCCCTACGCTTTTCTGCTTGGGAACGGAGCAAAGGTATTGAGCTGCTATAGTAGCCTTTTCGCAGGACAAAGGACCCATGAGCGGCTGGATAGTGCTGTAGCTCTCATTCAGGGGAACGGTGCCCCGGATGAGAGATTCGTCGGCGTCGGGCCTGGGTAGCATGGTGAATCGGTGGTTATCCAGCCGATCTTCGTCAGTAAAATTACCAAATATACCACCCGGAAGCCGATTGGAGTTATTTGGGTCCAAGATGGCATAGTTGAGGCCATCTTCGTCTACCAACAGGTTTGGCGAGTCACAGTTACCAAGGTCTAACGCAAACAGCGAATGCATGATTTTGGAGTAATGCAGGGCTTCCGTCAGTGTTGGCGATGCCCAGAACTGTCGTACCGGTCAGTCTGTATGCAGTATTTCTTTTTGGAACAGGAGCAAAGTCACGACAACATACATCAGAGTTGTAGGGGGTGGTGTCGTACTCAAAGTCCGAATCCACAGTTACCACTAAGCTATTCTCGAATTGGAACGACCAACGGAGATCAAACAACGCTGCGGATCGAAGACTTGTCAAGTAATTAGCGAGCTAATCAGTCTCTGGAAGTGCAGGGATTACTTAGAAGCTGCAACTTACTCCGACTTTGACCGGTTACCATTGAAGATAAGTCTGGCCCGGTTGAGATATGTTTCACTCACAACTTCTACACCGGGAATTTGTGACGCAGCACTCAGTATACCAATGAAATAGGCGTTCGAAAGCCGAGTTCCCCACCAAAAGCTTGCGCGTGTTTTGTGATTAGAATCCATGACATAGTCGTATACGGGCTCGGTTTCTCCTTCATATTCAGCTTCCATGGTGACTTCAGCAAGTCCGACATCAGACACCACACTACACTGTAAGGTCGCCGCCGCTACTGTGTTCTTGAATGACATCCACCAGGATGGCAATCTGGCCGGGTCGCTTTTCATCAATTTGATGAACATCTTACTTAAAAAACACCTCTCGAAAGTCGTGTTCTTATACCCAATCGACGAACGGATATCTGGGGACTCGGTGTCTCCTGTGGGAAGTTCTATGCTCTTCACCTTATACCGGAAACCGTGGTTAGAGGTGAAGAAAGAGTCGCCGACTGTTAGAAGATAGGGCTGGCATTCGACATCCATGTCCCCTTGCCAATTGAAAGGTGGCTTGTTGAACCATCTGTTTTTACATCATATATTAGGTCAAGTCAAAACTAAACCTCACCTGGGATGCATCTTACCGCGCATTTGCTGCAGCTTCCGTACCATTGACATCGGTAGTGTAGAGAGGCTTCAAGTCAAATCCGTTCGATGTTAGGTTGACAAGCGAAAAGACCACAGTTAGGATGACACAGCCTGTAATTGCAACGGGTGTGAACCACCTGAAAGGATATGGGCGAGTGATGGGATACTCAAAATAGGAGTAATGCATAGCTCTTTGCTTCGCAGTGGCATGAGGTTTTGGCACAAGATCTAATTTGGACATTGACTTTCAAGTATACTTGTAATTCTAATGGCCCAGGAACAACCAAAAGTTTGGGCACAGCCTGCTTATGTACTGCATATGCGCAGAGGTGATCGCTCCTAAAAGAGACGGTTACACTCGATGGACGCCGTGCCGCTCGCTGCTGAGACAAACAACAAAATGTCTCTTCTTAAGAGCCAATGAAATAGCTAGTTTGTGGAAGAGCCGCCGCTCCTCGGTCGGCGAAGCCGATTTAGTTTCTTTGAAAAGTTGGTGGCCAGGTCAGGCTGTGAGTGACACAGCATTTTGGGTAAGCTTACGCAGTATCAAACGAGAAGGGAAAGGATTTGTTGGTGCTCTGCAAGGCCCAATCTCAAATCCATACGGCGGCGGATAGGTTCACCGATGAAGACGCAGATAGAAGCCAATGACATAGTGAGAAGCACTGGGAGTGACAGCCAACAAGATCACTCGTCAACCGCCTTGACAAATCAACGTGCATGCATGTGGAAGACTGTGCCACTCCAAGATAACTGGAATCACTCATGTGGATAGTGTATCCCATGATTCCGGGCCTCTGGGTACACGTGTACTGCGATCTTCTTGGACGAAGCACCGGCCGAAATGGTCTTGCTGCATTTACTTATTGTGTGCCCTCTTACAGGCTGGGCGATGAAGCTTCCTCAACACAATGTATCCCATCCTGCGCGTGCGGGAATAGATCAGAAGAAAAGCTTTCTGTGGCTTCGACAATAATTGCATGTAGTGGTGCTGTTATAAGCCGGGTAACATATCGCAAGAAGTGCTAATCACAGCAATGAGATTACACTGCCCGGACGATGTCGTGCCAAGGGAATACACTTGCTTAAGGCAGAACCTGAATATCGGCAAACATATCCATCTGCAAAGAAGATAAGATTAAACTCGCCATACAACTCTCCATAAACAGGCGAGTTACTCTTGAAGTATTCATAATCATATTCAGTCACTAAACAGACGAAATTGGAGAACGATGGCTAGGAGATATCTCTATATTTCCGGCCCAAAATCCAGACTCACAACTTTTGATCACCTGCGTCATTGCTGTTAGTAGAAAAACCGACAAAACGGATTTGGTACCAGAAAATGTCGACAATATCCAGCGTGTCGTAACATCTGAACATCAGACTGCACCTATTCTTCAAGAATAGAATGAATGACTTGATGTAACTTGCAGCTCAAGTTGGAAGAGACAAGCAACCCCGCGCCACGCTCACTGGTTCGGGGGTAGAAACCAACTTGCATTGAGTACATAAAAAGTCTACTGCTGGTAACTCCCACTATGACAACGATCGTCAGGTCTGATTATCCGTTGAGAGGACAAATTGAGGCCCATCATCCGGTCATAGTTTGGGATCAATTGCCATACGCTTCAGCCACACGCTTCATAAAAAAGCCCGTTGATATTCTTCCAACATGTCTATCGCCGGAGCATGGTGTCCAGCGACTTTCTTCGTATATTCGTTGACGAAATTGAAGTGCGGAATGGAAGTATACAGGAGCGGGGATGGTGGTATGGAATACTTGATTCGCACCACATCCCATCATTTTACTCCCGGGAGTCTTTCCACCAACTAAGCTTTCAGCAAGAACCCTCCTTTCGAACCGAAGAGACGCGGCAACATTCAGCCGAAGAGAAGAGTCGTTGTTTCTACTTTGACTAATGAATTTATATGACAAACATTGGATCACGTACGCCTGTTTATCTCGAGAACAACGGTAGAGCCAAAGATGTGGAGATCTTCCGATGTTTATATGAGAGCCTAACCGCAGTGCCTAGTCAATGTGACGGAATATCGAAAAGAGACATTCTTGCTATTCCCCAACCATTCATCTGGGATAAGATTCGACTAGGATGAAAGAAACTAACACTTTGTTTGGTTCGTTAGCTTTGATGTATACACGATCATACTCGGCGAGTGATCGGAGAGGACGCCGATGATAAGAGTGTCATTATGGCAGCCCGATCCAGCGATACGACATGTCATATGTAGTCCACACCTATCCTTATGTACTCTCTCGCCCTCTCAAATCATCTCACGACGCAAAAATCTTCATCAGACCCTCCATCGCCATATTACCACCGCTAAAAACCAATCCCAAATCCCACCCCTTCTCCCCAGCCTCCTTCTCAACCAACTTCCTGAAATCCTCGTTGAACAGCGCAACAGCCAACGGCACCGCGCCGCTCGGCTCGACAACGAGCTTGAACCGCTCAAATACCAGCTTCACCGCCGCCTTGATCTCCTCCTCGCTCACGCTGAACATGTTCTCTACCAGCCTCCTCTCGTAGATCACGCCCCAGGGGAACTTGCCCACCGGCGTCCGCAGCCCGTCCGCGATGGTCAGCGTCTTCACGCTCTCGACCCTCTTGCCCGCCTCGAACCCGCGCTTGCAGTCGTCGGCGCCCTGGAACTCGGGCTCCGCGCCAAACACCCGGATCCCCGTGCCCTCGCAGCTGAGCGCCACGCCAGAGAGCATACCGCCGCCGCCGCAGGGCGTCATGATGGCGTCGAGTCCCTTGCCTTCCGATGCAGCAGGCTGGCCGGTGGAGTTGAAGGTCGGGTTCTGCGCTGAGTGGCCCGCGGCGATGAGGTCGCGCACCTGCTCCTGCAGCTCGAGGCCGAGGGTGCCCTGGCCGAGCATGATGTCCGGATGGTCGTAGGGAGGCACGAGGCGGGCGCCGGTCTCGGCGATGACGCGGTCGGCGACGGCCTCGCGCTCGACGGAGGTGCTTCCGCTGAAGATCACGTTGGCGCCGTAGCCGCGGGTGCCGGCGATCTTGTTGGCGGGGGAGATGTCCGGCATGACAATGTGGGCGGGGATGCCGGCCTCTTTCGCGGCCAGGGCGAGGGCTTGAGCGTGGTTTCCTAAGAGCTTCGTTAGTATGAGTGCTCACGTGCATTCTCAATCCGTCATATGAGAGACTCAAAAATGAGAACGAAAATATGAGGGGGTGACTGTGTCTAACCAGAACTGTGCGTGACGACGCCCTTCTCCATGCCGCCATTCTCAATCCAGCCAGGCTCCTGCTTCAGCCGCTCGACTGCGTGGAACGCCCCGCGGACCTTGAAGGCGCCGATGCGCTGCAGGTTCTCGCACTTGAACCACAGCCTGAGGGTGGGCTTCGCGGGTGTTCGGCCCTCCCATCTTGTGCCCTTCAGGTCTTCGGGGGACCGCGGCGTCGAGGCGAGGGTGGTGAGGGTCTTATTTGTGAGGACGGGCGTGTAGTGCACATGTGGCTTGACGAGCTTGTGTGCTTCCACTACGGTGGCGCGGTTCAAGGGCAGACATGTTGTGAGGTCTGCCATTTTGCCGGTGGTGGTACACGGTAGGTTATGAGAGGGGTTTGGTGAGACTTAGTTTCCCGGACGTTTTCCGGTGGCGGGATTCGGGTTCGACACTGAGGATGTATTGGCTGCCGTGCTGATTGAGATGCTATATCAGCCGACGAGTTTAGGAGATTGAGGCAGATTTTAAGGGTGGAAAATGCCTAAGGTGAAGTTACAAGACCATCGCAAAAGTGATGAGATGACAGGATGAGTGTCCGATGCCGGCCGGGGTCGGGGAACGCGTGCGCCCTCCGGACGGGCCACACCCCCGCTCTGCCGATGACTCGCCCGCCGCTGCGTGCTTTAAAGGGCGCCGTTGCCTGGGATGACAACTGGGAAACTCACCACGAACAGATTAGCCGCGGGCAAAAGTTGAACCGCCGAATGGCATCATTGAGTTGAAGCCAATGACTTCCTTTCTTATTGCTGGAAATGGAAGGTCATTTGAATCTTCCGGGCGAGATTTCGTGATTCAACGGTGCGCTATCACGAGTAAAGCGACTCGCGATTTTAGTGACCAATTACTTGTCAGTCATGCTGCGACGTTCAAACAGAAAAAGGGTCTTCGGTAGAATGCGTTTTCTCCCGCTCTGCTTTACAAATTCAGGGTTCACTCAGTCTGTCAATTATTCTTAGTTTTCCCCTCCCTAGCCACGTGTGTAACTTTCACATCACCGAAGCCCGACTACGACAAGTCACCGTGTCCAGCTGAGAGCCATCGCACCAGCAGCATTCAGAAATCTGCCAAATCATGCCAAAAGTTTTGCTATTCGAACAGACGCCTGCAGCTGATAAAAGGGACGTTAATTATCGAAGCTCACACACATTATAGACATGGCCATCTCAAACTCATTGCTCCGAGGGCTTTCCCGAGCCTGAGTTAGTCTCCCGCCGAGGTCTATGTCGAGAACGCTTCTAGCATAGACTATCAACAAAACGAAAACAGGCCCTTCTAAAGCACAAGCTCTCTGCGCATTTGACAATTGCACAGCGCAGGAATACAACTGCTCGCGAATAATGGTGCGTTGTTGGTTGAAATGAAAATGTATCAGCTATCCGACCCTAACTACTTAGCGACGCGTCTGTCCCAAAGTTGATTTTCCGATGCAAGTTGTCGACGCCGGCGTCTTTCATTCCTCTTGTTTCCGACGTATACGCAGAGTGCGAGGCTGCGGCCGGGAAACGACGAGTACTTCCGGGACATGAGTAGAACCTGCGTCGGCGTCGATTTCACCTTGTGGACTCAAGATAACGCCAATGAAATCACAACATGCAACAGACCTCGGCCTTAATTGTTCGTTCCCTAAGAATACTGGTTCATTGCAACGGAGACTTAAGTACTTCAAGCGTACCGGATGAGCTACTCAGTTGTGTCTCGACACATGCCGCCGGAACATACATCGATCTCTAAAGCACGAAATACTTTGAATATAAAAATTTCCAAAGACGGCAACTTACTGGCCGGAACAGTAGCAACCGGGTGATGAATGTTTGCGGGGGCATACTCGAAAGGGTTGGTTGCAAAGGCTCCAGATCCCAATCTGCGAGCAGACAAACAAGAAACTACAGACTGACATATGCCTTCTAGTTCGTATT